CCTGGGTGACAGCAGCCACCCCCAGCACTGTCCACCAGGAAGACCGGCAGCTCATCCGTCCACTGACCAGCGGGACAGGTCGCCGCTGCGCCCCAGCACCTGCAGAGCTCTTTGGCTTACAGCACGCACAACCTGGAGCCCCTTTCTGTCCCCGTGAGGCCCACGAAGCTGGTCCTCTGTGCGGCGCCGCCCCTCGCATCCGCCCAGAGAGCCCAGGAAGCCCTCGGCCTTGGCCGCTCAGGACATGGGGCCCTGCCAGGCCCGACCTTCTCCGCCCAGACGGCCCCCCACTGTACCAGAGGCCTCCCTGCCCCGCTCCCGAGTCGCTGCACCCTGGGACCTCCAGAGCCAGCCCCCACGCAGAGGTTCAAGCTGCCTGCACCTCCAGGCCCCTCCCCAGCTCCTCCATTCTCCCTCACCAGGACGCCCAGGGACTCCACACCCCAGCGACCCGCCGTCATCCACCTCCTGCCCCCCGGAGGTCAGCCACGTGCCCCAGGAGATTTTCCTGGGCCTCGTGTTCACGGCTGCACCCAGTGCCCGGAAGTGAATGTGGCACAAAGAGCCTGGCCCAGGGGCATTTGCTTAAGGCGTGAATGGTAACTTTGAAAAGGAGACGGCCTGCAAGGAGGAACACTAAACATTCCAGAAAAATCGTCGAGACTGTTCATTCTGTCAAGATTGGTGCACCCCACGTGCAGAGGCCCCCGGCACCTTCCTGTGGAAGGCAACAGGGTCCAGGTCACGTGGGGCCCTCTCCAGACCCCAGGCCCAGCCCCTGCCCCGCCCTGCCCCACGCGGGCCCACGGCTCACCGGTGAGCGGGCCCTTGGGGAAACCAAGGCAGGAACTCACCCTGCCCCAGCCTCCCGATCGACAGGAGGCCTGGGCGCCAGGTGTTGTGTCGCCAGGTGGGCTTGAACACGGCCCCTCGAGCTGACCCGTGGGGACCTCTGTGAGTGCGTCAGAGAGACGGCCGAGTGGCCACCAGGAGCCTGTGTAGAGCCCGCAGTGCAGCCTGCAGCTCTGGCTGTCCCTCTGGTCCAAGTCCGAGCTGGGTCTGCACACAGGCCTGCCCTGTCCCCTCCGAAACACGCCCACGACAAGCCCCGAGCTGTACTCAAGGTCGCCACCTCTGGACTGCCCCTTCAGGCCTGACCGGGCGGCTGCACGCCCCACGCCAGTGGGCGCTGTCTTGCTTCCCACTTCCCCCATTTCCACCCAACCCTTCAACCCCACAGGCTGGGGCTGCCGGGCTGGCTGGGAGCCCCACGGAGAGGGCTTGGCCTCGACTCCCCCAGGATCTCGGGACGGTCACCTGCACCCCCTGCAGAGCTGGCCCGGGCCTCCGGAAGGAAGCCTGTTCCGGCCCATCCGCTCCAGCCGGCCCCCACCCCAGTCCACCCCCGTTCCCATGACAAGACTAAACTCCTGGCCGTCAGGTGCACAGAGAGGCTCTGCTCCGAGCCGCGGGCTCCGCCCCAAGCCAGACCACATCTGAGCCCCCGCCCCGCCCCGCCCCGCCCCGCAGCCCTGCCTCCCCACGGCCAGCCTTTGTTCACCCGCCATCGAGGGGGCACCCCATCGGCCTTTCCTCCCCAGCCCTCCGCCCACCCAGGCAACCAAATGTGACCGCAAAGAGGCCCTGGAGTGGCCATCTGTCCCTGCCATGCCGGTGTTCATGCTGCGTAGGCAGGGAACGGCCAGCACGACAGACGGCCGCGGCCCGACCCACACGCCAGGCTCCGGGGCCAGCGTCCGGAGCTGCCCAGGGCTGGGGCTCCCCCGCCAGCCGGGACGGCCGCGCAGTGGCCCCGGGGTGCTCAGAGGACGGGCCCGGAAAGCCTCACCTGGGACGAGCACCCGAGAGGAAACGCCGGCCCTCGCGCTCCAGTTTTCAAACGTCCCTCATCTCACCCCACCCCCCGACGCCCCACCTGCGCCCGGCAGCCAGCCGGGCAGAACCCGGGCCGGCCAGAAGTGGGCTCCCGAGTCTCGAGTTCTGGAGATGACAGGCCTGAGGGTTGTCATCATCTGACCCCGTGTTGCACGCCCACGGGGGGCAGAGGGCTGAGTTCCTCTGTGAGGGGACATTAACCCACCCGAGCCCTGTGTCCCCCCTCGGGGGCCTGGTCAGCCACAGCACCAGCGGCCCTCGCTGTCCCCCGGGTGCTAGGACCCCAAGCTCCGCAGAGGCGCCGTCTGAAACTCGACAGCGACACAAGCCCCACTCGGCAGCCGCCGCCCCCACCCCCATTTCCCTGGGAAGTGGCCGGACGCAAGGGACGCGCCTTCGGACACACGGCCCCACCAACCTGCAGCCTGGGCCTGGGGGGCCGTCAGCAATGTGCCCCTTTCCTCTCCTCCCCGTGGCCAGGCAGACCGGTGGGGCGGGGCGGGGCGGGGCAAGGGAGGGGAGGGGGTGCAGATAAGAACAGAACAGAGCAGTCAAGGGGGCCAGGCGAAGTGAAGTGGAAAACGATTCCGGGGAGGGCGGGTAGAAATGGGGGGAGATCACTGCATCAGCCCACGCCTCCCAACGGACAAGAGGTGTGTGTGCATTTCGAACCCCACTGCACAGCCGCTCGAGTTCCTGGAAGGGGCGCCTGAGAGACGCGGGAGGCCGGCTACAGGGCAGGGGAGGGGAGAGGGAAGACGCTCGAGTCCCAGAATCCACGAAGCGCCCACTTGGTGCCAAACCACAAGACAGGCACCTCACACGAACACTCACGGAAACCTCACCGGCCCGCCCCCCAGCCAGGGCGCACTGTCTCTGACTCACAGGAGGAAACGGAAGCTCAGAGGCTTGGGCAACAACGCTCCTGAGGCCCCGCAGCCCGCAGTGGCCGGGCAGGGCTCAAACCCAGCTCTTTCTGACCCCCAGGCCCTCGCTCTGACACGGCCGCACGCTCGGAGAAGTTCTGAGAAGCCTTTAGAACGGAAAGACCCGTGCACGGAACACGAACCCACAGAAGGCGCCGCGCCTGCAGCGTCGCAGGGACCTGGCTGCGCTCCGGTACGAGGCGAAGCTGCGTCGGGGGCGGGCCGCGGGCACCCGCGATCCACTCGGAGTCTCACGCAGCAGGGTCTCGTCGGCTGTCGGTGAAACGATGTCACCAGCGTGCCCCGCGAAGACACGGAGCACACCTCAAAACAATGGGATGCAGTGTGTGCGTGACACTCAAGAACACAAGGCCTGTTTTCGTAAGCCAAAGTACACTGTATCCAAACCCATAAAGATAAATACATAATGCCTGCTCCTCAGTTACTCAGTCTCAAAGGCCCTTAAAATCTTTTTTGAGAATGTTCCACAGGGCAGAATTTTTAAAATATGTAAAGGGAAAAGAGAAGGTAGTGTTTGTTTATGCCTCATTTAAAACGCAAATAGAAACCAAAGCTGGTTCTCTCCGGAGACCAGGAAAACTGATAACGTATCAGCAAGGCTAAGCCAGAGGAGAAAGCAGAAGCCAGCAAAGCCAGGAATGAAAAAAGAAACATTTCTGCAGACAGGACAGCCTGTAAGAATGTTGTCAGAGGATTTTATGTGCAACTTTACACCAATACGTTTCAACGTGTAGGCGAAATAAAACTTTATTGGCCCCACAACGACCTGAACCCGCCCACACTGAACACACACACACACACACACACAGCCAGAGCAGGCAGCCCGCTGCACAGGTAAGGGGTCCCACCTGCCAGGCCACGTAGAGCTCGCCCAGCCGCACGTGTCTGCAGGCCGAAGCCCGCTCCCAGCCCCACGGGACACTGTCCGGACACCTCAGGGACCGCCTGTGCCCCTCCTCGAGCTGAGGGCCACCCGCCGCTCCTCGCACGCCGGGAACGGGCCGCAGTCAGAGGCCCCGGCCCGTCCCGAGGTGCAGTCAGCCAGTCTTTCCTGCTGAGTGAGTTGCTGCAGGCTCCCCGGGGTGGGGTGGGAATCAGAGTCAATTTCAGCTCCCTGCCACGTTCCCTCCGGAGCCGACACGGAGCCTGAAACCTGCTCTGGCAGTTGTGACGTCTGAGCCACCCACTTGCTCGTCCCTGGGACGTGTCTGGTTTGGTTTCACAGTCGTTTCCATCTGCTCTGTGCTGCCGACTCCGGGGAGGGTCGGGGGGAGCGACGGAAGACCGTGGCCACAGCAGCCCGGCCCCGACACCCCCAAGCTCACGCGGAGGGCGCGCTGAGAGGGCCGGGCCCCGCCGTCCTGCTGTGGGGAGATCGGGATCAGCCCGCACCCTCCTGACGCCCCCACCCCCGGGAGAAACAGCCGGGAAATGAAATCTGGTTTTCCGACAACCTGACAGTCACACGCACGTGCACACAGCTCCGTACCAGCCCTGGGACCAGACATGAAGAGGAGACTGTGGACCCCGCAGCGCCTCCAGACGCCGTTCAAATGAGACCTTGGGGAAGGCTGCCAGAAACCAGCTGTGGCCCCGGCTCCCGCGTGCCAGGACACGCTCGGGATCACTCACAACGCTCCCAGCCCCGGCGCCCCCAACTTCCTCTCCCTGCCCCCGCCCAAAATGGACCTGGGCAGCCCTCCTGGAGATAGCCGGCTGCCCAGGCCAGAGGCACCTTTCAAAACTGCCCGGAGGGGCGGCCCACGGCTAGGACGCTGCGCCGACCAAGCCCAACCAGACACGCAGCGCAGTCGGAGGGCTCCCCACCTCCTCCCCGGCCCCCCAGGACACTCCTGAGGGGTCCCCCCGAGCCCCAAGCCTCCCGTGGGGGCGGGTCCCCCACCTCGACCCGCGGCACCGCAGGCTCAGCAGGACCAACAGCAGGCTGGAGACAAGAAGACAGGAGGCATCTCAGTGAGCAACCCGATCCCATGGCCCCCCTCCCTGCCCGCCTGGCCTCCAGTCCTGGTTGCAGAAGGTGGGGGAGGCGAAGAGCTGCCCCCGGGCCCAGGGCAGCCTGGCGCCCAGGTCCCACACGGCTGCCCCAGCTCCCACCTGCCCCCTGGTCCACGGCCACCACCCAGCACAGAAACTCACCGGCGGGACTGGCGGCCAGAAACCGAAGCTCACGCTGCGGGCGGGCACGTGCCGGCCCGTGTGTCTGCGCGGCCTCACAGCCCAGAGTTCCAGGGACGCCCGAGCGGCAGCGGCTCCCGGCCCCCGGCTCAGGAAGGAGCAGTTTCTGTGGAGACCGATCTGGGCATCAGGGTGAGTCGGGAGGGAGTGCCACTCTTCCCTCCCCACCCACCTCCCCGCCTCCCGCCGCCTCCCTCCGGTGCAGACACTCCCAGAGCCCCGCGCTCACTCCCGCTCGTCCGGGAGGGGAGGGGTCCCTCCCAGGTCTCAGCACGGCTGCCCTGCACAGCACTCGGCCCAGCGCCGGGACAGCAGGGCCACCCCCCTGGCGGGGCCTGAAGTCCCCACCACCACACGCAAGCGCCCTCTGCGGGGGCAGGACAGGGCCCTGTCGCAAGAAGAGCGGAGGACACAGGCACAGAAAACAAACTCTGAGCTGCCTGTCTTTCCTTTAAAACTCACAGTGTTTCAGAGACACAATAATAGTTTTGGGAACAGCCCCCCAAGGACCCACCACACAGCATCAAAAACTAAACCCCCGACACCCAGGGGGTAGGGGGTCGCCCGGGAGCCCTTCTCTGAAAAGCACCCACTCCCCCCTAAACAGCGGCTGCCGTGCCTCCGACTTCCGACGAGCAGTCTCTCTGCCGGGGTCGGCCACAGCTCTCAGCGGCACAGACCTGAGGTCCCAGGCGGGGGTCTTTCGGAACACACCTTCCAGTGCGCATGCGGAGCCCCGGGCGGCTCCTCGAAGGACAGGAAAGCAATCCCGGCGTGAGCCGCAGGCTCTGGGGACGGCAGAGGCCGCAGGCAGAGGAGCTGCAGCGCCCGTGGGTGGGATCGAGGGGCGAGAGCCACACCACCGTTCCCCAGGGTGAGCAGCCGTGGCGGAGGCCGAGGGCACCAAGGGCCCGGCGCAGAGACCCCGAGACAGAGGCGGCAGCGCGGCGCTCGCTGGAGCGGCCCTAACAACGCGGCGCTGTCCCAGTCCCGGGCCGGGGGCGAGGCGCAGCAAAGGGAGCTCCTGGGCACCGACGGCAGAGGGCGAAGCGGTGGGGGCCGTGGCCCAGCCGTGGCACGCCAAGAGCCGGCTGCGGCTGAGAGGCACACACGCCGGTGCACACGCACCGAGAGCCTCCAAGCACCTGCCCCCGGGCCGCCCCCGCGGAGGCCCAGCGACTCTCCGGCAAAGGAGCAGAGCGCGGGCGCCCACGAACGCCCGCCGGGACCCAAGGGGCGTCTGCAGGGCGCGGCGCTGCGGCAGGGGGTGGGGGCGGGGGTGGCCGTGTCCTCTGGGGCCACCCAGCGGTATGGGGAGCGGTTGTGGCCGCCACGCATGGGGGTGGCTCCGGGCACCCGGGGGGCAGAAGTCAAGGGCGCCAAGGAGCACCCCAGAATGCTGCGGGAAGTCCCCACAACCAAGAGCAATGGAGCCGGAACCGCCCCCAGCACCGCAGGTGAGAAGCCCGGGCGGGGGCGGGGGCTGGGTGGGGTGTCACTGTCCGTGCCCACCCGCGCTCTGAAGAGTCTCTGCGGGGGCTTGGGGACGACAGAGGGGCCGGCCCCCGTTTCCCACTGGCGTGGGCGCGGGGGGAGGGGGCGCGCTGGGCTCAGGAGCGCTGGGGCCCTGGGCAGTGTGGGGCGCAGCCCAGGGCCGGGGCGGGGGCTCGTGCAAGGCTCTGAGGGGACACACTGGCAGGGCTGGGAGGAGGGGGCACCAGGTGGGGCGCCAGCCGGGGACCAGCGACAGCACCGCGCGCAGACGGGGAAGACACGGGGCAAAGGCAGGCTTATCTCGGCCGTATCATCGGCCACCTCTGCCGGCCCAGCACCAGCGGGGCCGCTCCGGAGAGAACAGGAAAGGTGGCCGGCCGCCGCACAGCCTATCGGAAGGGGACATACCTCCCACAGGAAGCGAGCACGGGCGCCCCCAGGTCCGAGGGCCGGGCGAGGGGCCCACGGCCGGGACCACAGCGAGGACGGCGCCTCTTCTGCAGGTCTTCCCAGCTGCCGCCGCGGCCCAAGCGGCCGCCCTTCGGGCCGGCCAGTCCTGGAGGCCCCGTCCTCCTTCCTGCGGGAGTGGGGGTCGTTCTGCTGGTGCTCAGCGTTTCTCAGGAGGGGCAGGGGCCTCGCTCCTCGGAGACCCCTCAAAGCCTGACCATCGGGCACGGAGCGAGCCCCCACCTCACGGCCCCCCCCCCAGGCCGACGGCAGAGCCCCTGCCGTGCCCCCCGCCCCCGGCGCACGCAGGGCCCGCGGAGCCGCTGGTCTGAAGGACCGGCGAGCACAGAGCGCCTGGGGGCCCCACTCAGGGTCCCGTCACACAGTCCACCACCACCACCACCACCAGCAGACGCGGGACACGGGCCCCGGGCTTCGTGGGGCCGTGACGCGGGAGGGGCGCCGAGCAGGCGCAGGGAGCCTTGGTCGGGAAGGAAGCCTCGCCTGCACCCCAGACCGGGCCCGTGCTCACGGCGCTCCCTCCCTCGGCCACGGACGCCCGTCCCGGGCCAGGTGGGAGCGTGGGGCCCTTCCCAGACCGCGGGGCCACGGGAGGCCGCGTGAGCCCTGCGCCGTCCCCAGCGAGGCCCCACCGTGGGGCCACGGCAGGTCCCCTCTCGAGGCCCACAGGCCCTGGGCACGAACCGAGAGGAGTCACGGCAGATTTTGTTGTTCACGCAGGAGAACGGTTTCCGTTTTTACTTTACATTACAGTGCACTGGTGATTGTACTTGTTCTGGACCAAACACTCGGGAGGGGGGGGGGGCTGGACGGCACTGGCACCCCGGGTCCCGCGCCCACGGCAGGCTCGGGGCCGTGCACACGGGGGACGCTGCTGTCAGGAGGGACATGCTGGAGAGACGCCACCTGCTGCTCTTTCCACGCCAGGAAGGGACGCCGGGTTTTACGGTCTGAGGGGCTCTGGGTGCCACCCCCCCCAGAAGGAACAGAAGCCACCCCGGCCAGGTGGCTCCCTGGGCTGGAGCATTGTCTCAGAAAGCGAGTGGTCGCATGGTCGCCGGTTCGATTCCCGGCCCGAGCACACGCCTGGGCCGCGTGTCCGAGCCCCGGCCAGGGCACGTACGGGAGGGAGGCAACCACACGGCCTCACTCTCACGCCGACGTCTCTCTCTCCCGCCGTCCCTCGCGAGCGTTTCAACACCGTGTGAGGATCCACCTCGATCAGGATGCAGAGCGAGCGTCCGTCTCACAACAGCAACCCCCCTGGGGGAGGACAGCGGGCGCGTGGGTGGGGAGCGGGGGTGGGGGGTCACTTGGGCTCGCCGAAGCAAGGCAGGTTCGTCTGGCACCCAGACCCGCTGACGCGAGTCTGCTGCACACTCCCCGTCGCCGCCTCCTTAAAGCAAACGTCGAGCCCCCCCGCAGCGCCCCCAGCATGGGGGGCACGGAGAAACGCACCAAGATACAAGCTGAGCCCCCCAACACTAGTGAGAGCCACAACCCCCGGGGGAACAGAAATCCCCGCTCAGCCCCGGACGGCAGACCGGACGGCAGACCGGCCGCCCCCAGGCCGTGCGCCAGGATGCAGAGCAGCTGTGCCGGCCCAGGGCCGTCCGAGTCGCCCGCCGGCAGCCGCCCGGCAGGTCCCAGCGGCAGGTCCCAGCCGGTTTGGCAAGGCGGCAGCAGAAGCCCGGCGAGACACGGGTCGGACCCACACACACCGGGGGTCACGTGGGGCCCTGCGCAGAGACCGGGACACCCCAGTGACGGAAGTCCTGGAGCCCCACGACACCACAGCGTCCCCTTGGAGGCTGTGGACCCCATCACTGTCACTCGTGCACGGTGTTCACCGCGGGGTCACTTGCAGCGGGCGCACGGTGGGAGCGGCCCGGTGCCCAGAGGGGACCGGCCGGCCGGCCAAGGCAGGGCCAAGCCACGGACACCAAGCAGCCGCAGAAGGGAAGGCCCTCTCTCAGACCCCACAGTCCACGTGGGCTGTGGGGGTGTCCTGCCGGGCGGCGCAGCCGGGCACGGACAAACGGCCACAGCAGGGCTCCCGGCGTGCAGCCCGTCTGCAGGAGGCAGGTCCACGGCGACCAGAGGGGGACCAGGGGCCGCCGGAGGCTGAGGGGCGGGCAGGGAGTGGCGGGGGGGGGGGGGGGTCCCTGCCTCAAGGTCGCAGTGTGTCTGTCTGGGGCGACCCCACATCACTGCACAGTCCTGCGGACACACAGACGTCGCTGAACTGCACACTCACAGTGGTTACACAGGGAAGTTTTCTGTTACATCTTTCACCACGGCTTTTTTTTTTTAAAGATAAAAACAACCCACATCGTTTTCAAAATATTGGCTCAGGGACATGCAGCTTCTGAGAATGCTGCCGCCGCCAACAGGAACCCACCGGTGCCTGCGAGCGAGCTCGGAGCGCAGCGAGGAGGCTGGGACACGCAGGGCCTTCCCCGGGGCCATTGCCGCTGTCCTCCGGACCCCACCCCCCCCCACCGCCTGCCACGGGAGAGTGACGTTCCTCCGTGGAGGCAGAGCGGGGCGGCTCAGTGTCGGGCCAACCCTTCGGCGAGGACCAGGGTGCAGCGGGGCGCTCGGTCTCCCAGGCGTCCCGCAGCTGCACGGGACCACACGTCACTACACGGGTCACCTTCCCAGCCCAGGACGCCTCTCATCCCTCCCCCGCTGGGGGCCTGCTCCCCCACCGCCCGGCACCACCCTCAGAACAGACCGGACAGGGTGGGTCTGCGTCCAGAGCCACACACAGGGGGCAGCCAAACTCAAACGGCCACCCAAGGACAGACTGCATTTTACACTCAGACGGAGCCGGGCTGGCCAGGAGCTCCTTTCCTGGAGACAACAAGCCCCTCCCCTAATCCTCGGGAAGCCTAGTCCACTGTGGGGGGGGGGGGGGCAGCACGCAGCCTGGCGCTGCTGAGGCTCCGCCACGCTGAGGACGCACCGCCGGCCACTGCGCCAGCCTCGGGGGCTGTGTGCTGTGGGCCCGGTCGTCACAGTAACTCAGCAAGGCAGCGCGACCTCCAGCGCCACAGGCAGGTAAAGAGAAACTGAGGCACTGACAGAGGGCGTGACCCCCCAAGGCTGCTTCACAAGGAGGAGGCGTCTGAAGTCCCAGCC